AGCCCTGGAGGGCCTGCTTTCCGTGCATGGTTAGTGCTTTACTGCATAGTTGACAGCTGTTTCCCTTTACTCTTGAAAAATCAGCTATACACAATGACAAACGTGAATTAAAAAATAAATAAGGCAGTGGATGTGTGTTTTATAATTTTTTCTTGAAATTTTCTACAGTGACATTTCTCTAGGTAGAAATGAATTTTACAGAAATAAAAAGGAAATAGTTTATAGAGGCAAAAGTTGTTTTCATCTCTTTTAGAATGCTAATCAGATTAGGTCTCGAAAAAAGCTGTACTTCAAAAAAAGTTACAGTTAAAATAACTTTGGTTTTGTCTTTTCCAGGTGTACGTCATGCACACGTTAGCAGCTTCCCTTTCTGCTTGCATTTACCAGTGCCTTTGTGGTAGTCATAACTACAGGTAAATATCTTTTTGTGAAATTTAAGAATGTTTGTAGTAACCAATGAGGTTTCCTACTTTATATGTTATTACTTTAGAATATACTATAGCAGTCTACTCTTAAATAATAAAAAAAGCACATGGCTGAGGGGTTGAGTGCTTTTTTGTTTATCTTTGAAATTTTAGCTTATGCCTTTATGGCAAATGAATCTTAAACCCTTGTGAGAATAAGAATAACTCATTTGACAGCCTTTTTGTTTGTTTATTTGTTTTGAGGCAGAATTTCACTCTTTTGCCCTGGGTAGAATGCTGTGGCATCAGCCTAGCTCATAGCAACCTCAAATGCCTGGGATCATGTAATCCTCCTGCCTCAGCTTCCTATAGGCACCTGCCACAATCCCCAGCTAATTTTTTCTGTTTTAGCAGAGATGGGAGTCTCCCTCTTGCTTGAGCTGGTCTCAAATTTCACAGCCCAAGTAGTCCTCCTGCCTCGGCTTCCGAGAGTGCTAGGATTACAGGCATGAGCCACCACACCCAGCTTTAGCAACCTATGGTTGATTACTACATTGTGTCAGACACTGTGACTGTCACTGAGAATTTTAACCTAAATGAGATAAAGTCTCCTTCCTTAAGGTCACCTACTTAGAGACAAAATATGTCAACTGATAAACACATAACCTGATGTAGTATTCAAACAGTAATGGCAAATAATGAAAGGTTCAGAGAAGACAGTTGAGAGATTAGGGACTTGGAATTGAGAAAATGTTACAGAAGAATTGATATCAGGATTTTTCTCTTTATGTTCTAAAGTTTCAACCTTATTTATTTAGTCTTTTTTTTTTTTGAGACAGAGTCTCACTTTGTTGCCCTGGATAGAGTGCTGTGGTGTCGTAGCTCACAGCTTAAGTGATTCTCTTGCCTCACTCAGCCTCCCAAGTAGCTGGGACTACAGGCACCTGCCACAACGCCCAGCTGTTTTTGGTTGCAGTTGTCATTGTTGTTCAGCAGGCCCAGGCTGGGCTTGAACCTGCCACGCTCGGTGTATGTGGCCAACACTCTACTCACTGAGCACAGGCGCTGAGCCTATTTATGTAGTCTTTAAAAATATTATTTGGTGTACCCCGAGGTCTTTCTATATCTGTCTTCAGTTCTTTGAAATACCCTGATTTCATTGTCTCCTCTGTCTTCTGTTTCCTTTCTATTAGACAGATACTGGAACTTGTGGGTCCATCTTATTTTTCTATTAACTTTCTTCTGTGTTGCTTTTCTTTATCTCTTTTTGTTTCCTTTCAGGAAAAATCCTAGCCTCATTGTCCAAACACTGATTCATTCTTCAGTAATGTCCTCTTTTCTGTAGCCAGACTTTGTATTTTAGAAACTCTGTTTTTTATTTTTAAGATCTTTTCTTGAGCCCATCAGCCTTCTCCCCATCTTTCCTCTCTCTGGCCCCTTTCTCTCAAAAAATTTAAAAAGAATAAGATTTCTTACTGAATTTAATAGTTCCGTTTTGATAACATTTATTTCTTGAGTTTTACAAAACTTGAATATAAAGTATTTTCCTTTCTGATAAGTCAGCCTCCTCAGGTAAAGACTTTCAATGAATCTGTTATTTCTTACAATGAGTGTTGGATTTTAAAAGTATTTGAATTTTCCATGAGTAGCCTTATTTTCCACTCTGGTTATATACGACCAGAATTCCTTGACCCGGTCTGCTAAGACTTTGCTTTCTTATTGAGTATGGCTTTGTTTTCATCAATGTATTTTTATCTCTCCTATGATTTCCGTAGCCTTACTCTAGCATGTGGGAGATTTTTTGTTGTTACTGTGCTATCTTGAAACTGGAAAGTGAAGCAAGAGAAACTGTTTACAAATGCATCGTATGTGATGACCAGTGAAATTTGACAGTCAGAATATATTTAAACCAATAATTGTACTATGCTTAAATATTATATTTGTTTACTTAATGTATGATATAGGAATTTCTGAAGGATTTAACATTCTTTATACTATTTTCTGTAAGAGTTATTTTATCATTTATGCCAAGATGACAATTATTTTCCTTATTCAGCTCTTTACTTTGTCCTGGCTTAAAGTGTAATTTACTTAGGGAAGCTCATCCAGAATTCCCAAATTGAATGAAATCCTCTTTTTTCTTCATAGTACAATACAAATCGGTTTCATCTTAAAGAACAAGATGATAGAATTATTTGTCTTTTATCCTCCTGTCAGAATATAAATTTCATGGGACAGAAATTATGGTTTTCATTCTGTGCATAACATCTGGTATAGTACCATGTAGGGAAGGTTAGCCATTAAATATAAAAGTGAACCTGAACTAGTCGAATATGTAAGCTTACTACTCTGGTCATAATGATTTAGTTTCCTCATTTCCACTTATTCTGTGTCTTTCGCTAAATAAACTCACTACCTGTCAAATGTATTTTAATATAGAAAATGTGTATATTTACACTTAAAGGAAACTTTGTTTTCATATGGCACTAGACTCTAGAATATACTACTTAGATGTAGAAAACAAAAATATACCCTAGAAATTAAATTTGAAAAATGGAAATATATGAAATTCACCATAGATTTAAATATTGTTTTCTTCTCTTAGTTCATTTCAAACAAATCAGTTTACTGGAATGGTGTATCAGACCATACTGCTTCCCCATCGACATTCTTTGAAAACAGGAAGCTTAGACGAAGCAGTAACTCCCAATACATCACCAGCTCAATGGCCAGGTATCAGTAATGTTTTTATATGTGAGTTTTTTCTTAGCCTTACTGAAAATTTTAGATAAGTGAAAAGCAGATTTGGTTTGGTTTGGGCACATGATAATCATTGTTAAATATTGCTCTAATCAGGACCAGTGCAGTGTTCATGATTTATTAAAAACCATACAGTTCCTTAACATTTGTATTTCCTTGATCACTAGAGTAAAATAACAGAAGGGTTTTGTGATGTCAATTTTTAAAAATAATTCTGCTTTTGTCATAATAGAAAAACATGCCAATAAAATCTTATCTATGTGATTCAAGTCAGATTGTAGATTTTTCGTGTTTTTCTCTAAATTGAACAAATTGTTCAACATTTGTGCATTACCTATAAAGGTCTCTATTAGTCTATGAATCTAGGGAAGAAAATACGGCCTCTAATCCTGATAGGATACCTTTTCTTAATTAGAAAAATTTCAAAAATAATAAAAATGTTAAATTTTAAAGTTTAAGTAGCAGCTGTGTTTGTTGTTTGTTCTAGGAATAACTTACTTAATTCGACTTCTGAATTCTTCTGGTGAGGAAGCCCAGTCAGGACTTACAATCTTGCTCTGTGAGATTCTCACAGCAGTGTATCTTAGTCTCTTCATCCATGGTCTTGCTACGCATTCTAGTAATGAATTATTTCGGATTGTGGCCCATCCTCTAAATGAGAAAATGTGGTCTGCTGTATTTGGTGGAGGTGCGCGTGTTCCCAGCATAGAACAGACACATTCAAAAGCTTTGCCTGGTGAGTTTTTAATCTTTGTTTAAGACTGAAGCTTTATTTATTCACCTGACTTGTAACTTTTCTGAACTGTAATTATATTTTAATCTAGTCACAGAAAGTTCTTGTTACAAACCATTTTCTAAAAGCATTAACAAATAGTTTGATGGTAAAAATGTAGTATTAAAGTTTCTGGTGCTGTTTTCAATCTTTAAGATGGAAAGCACCTGTGATTAGAATTATCTAATGTAATTTTATTAACTCTTTTATGTTTACTATTGGACTTTTCATTTATTTTGAAATACACTGTAATACTGGTTTTTATTCTATCCCAAATACAGATTCTCTCTTCTTTCTTTGGCAGGAAGGCACTTTGCTATGCCTAGCCCCCACCAGGTAGTGGTATTCTCCATGGAATGTGTGGGCTTTTCCAAAGCTCTTTCAGCCTTCAGTTCTCATAGCCCTCCCAGTCTTGCAGGCAAGATATTAGCTTTAGAAATAGGCTTTTACCGTTCAGCTTGCTTTGTGTTGTTTTGGAAGGGGTGGGGTAAAGCGGGCCAGTCTTATTTTGTTTGGCATTTATAGAAAATTTAGAAGTTTCCTTTAATCAAGCCATAATTTTGATTTAAAACAATGATTAGCAGTTTAGACAACTATCTCTGCTATTATGTTGCTTCGAAATTCTTTGTTTCTGATATTTTCTACCCCTTAGACTTTAACATTTTCAAGTGTGTACAAATAAAGTGCTAATCATCAGAAATCAGACTATGGCTTGAAATGACTAGAAAAACATTTTATATAAGGCTGCTTTATGATTTGCATATTATGATTCTGATCCTTAGGATTTTTGGATTTCTAAGTGTTCATAATATTATAAGAAGTAAATATTTTAGAAACTGTATTTTCTTTTAAAAACCTTCTAATATTAAAACTATATATACTGTATTTATATAAAGGTTGAAACAGCAAACTTCTTGACTTGAAAAGAATCTTTATGGTGCTTCTCCCTGTTTTTGTAATTTATTATTGGTTTTCCAGTTTTGGCTATTATGAGAAAGAGATGTAGTTATTAATATATAGTACCTGAAAACTGGTCTTATTCTATACTGATAGTGAATTTTTAAAAATTAAATGTTTTTTAAAAAATAGGTCCTATGGGCTCGGCGCCTGTGGCTCAAGCAGCTAAGGCGCCAGCCACATACACCTAAGGTGGCGGGTTCGAATCCCCAGCCCGGGCCTGCCAAACAACAATGATGGCTGCAACCAAAAAATGGCCAGGCATTGTGGCGGGCGCCTGTGGTCCCAGCTACTTGGGAGGCTGAGGCAGGAGACTTGCTTGAGCCCAGGAGTTGGAGGTTGCTGTGAGCGTGATGCCATGGCACTCTACCCAGGGGGACAGCTTGAGGCTCCGTCTCAAAAAAAAAAAAAAAAATAAGTCCTATGCATAAATGTAAGAGAGAAGCCCAGCAAGATTATTAATCTCTTTATGAATTTTCTTTTCCTCTCTACCATCTACACTCAACATATACATGCACATATGTGTGGATGTGGGTGTGGATATACTACATGTGCTGGGAGGTCAGGCAATTAGTGGGCAATGTGAAAAGATAAGAAAAACTTGAATTTGGCTTCATTATTTAGGAGAAAATTATTGCTGAATTTTATGCCACTATAAAAGAATATTCTTTGAAGGTATATTAAAAGAAGGTTAGAAAAGTGGTTGTCTTGTTAAAATATTTAAAAATTATTAGTAGTAATATTTGCATGCTTTATGCTTCCTAAAAATAGTTTCCATTAGGCCATGGCCTTGCTCAGTTGTATTAAAAAGAAATTATAAAAGCCTAGCTTCTACTTTCTTTTCCTCGTTAAAATTGTCTCTTCAGTTTCTTAGGACTCTCTTACCTTTTTTTGTTTGTTTGTTTGTTTTGTTTTTTTCAGGTTTTGGCTGGGGCTGGGTTTGAACCCGCCACCTCCAGTATATGGGGCTGGTGCCCTAGTCCTTTGAGCCACAGGCACCGCCCGGACTCTCTTACATTTTTATCCAGGTTCCTTCTCCTTTCCTACCAAAAATTAACAGCAAGGGTTCAATGCTTTATGTTTACTACTTTTAATAAGGCAAATTCAGTTTATAATTTTGAGCAAAGTTCTACTAAATTTTTCTGTAAAAGGTTAAATATATAATTTAGGTTTTGCAGATCCTTTGGCATCTCACAACTCTTCAGTTCTGCCCTTGTAGCATAAAAGTAGCCATAGACAAATTTGTAGACAAATGAGTGTAGGGACAGGTGTGGTGCCTCACACCGGCAATCCTAGTACTCTGGTGAGCTGGGCTGAGAAAGAGAAAGACCCTGGTTCTACTAAAACATATTGAAAACATTAGCCAGGTGTCATGGTGGGTACCTGTAGTCTCAGCTACTCAGGAGACTTAGGCAGGGGATCACTTGAACCCAGGAATTTGACATTTGTCATGAGCTAGGCTTATGCCATGGCACTGTATAGCCTGTGCAGCAGAGTAAGACTCTGTCCCAAACAAAACAAAACAAACAACTTGCTTCAACAAGGCCAAGGCCTAATTCACCTTTGGCTGCTGTAAACTACTGAAAATGTACAAGGCTAAAATGGTTTCTCCTGAAACTTCATACCATCCTGCCTGGTTTTCATCTGCCTACACATTTTGCTCATTAATCAAGATTTTCTCTCTGGCCCCTGCCTCCCCGCCTTTTGTCTTCAGTTAAACTTCTCTCTTTCTACCTTTTGCCTTTATGCACTTCAGATTTCACATGCACATTTACCTTATTTGCCAAATTTATCTTTGTTTATTAAGATTTTAAGTGTTAACATTTTCATAACATCCCTTTTCTGGTTTTTAGAATTATTTCCTGTCTTTTTTTGTATAGATTAATAAAAAGACTAATTTTATATGAAATTTGCCTTGGGCTGTACTTCAGATATCTGAATTCAAAGAAAAACTTTCAAAATCTAAAGGAAGTAAGATCTGTAGCTCTGTTGAATTTAGATTAAAATAAATAATTGGTAAGTTGACTTTGGCCCCTTTTAAATATGTTCTGAGAAAAAAAGTCTTCTTGTAAGACTCTGATCCTGTTAATGTGAAATGTTAAAAATGGACAAATTCTTGCTAAGAAAGGACTATATGACCATTAAAAAAAAAATGAAAAATGCATTCTTACTAACCATCTCTCAAATCTCAGTTCCAACCACTGTTGCTGAAAAGAACCTTTCTCAAAGTCCAGGTTGATTCTTGTTAAAACACTCAGAGTAATTGTTGTTTGGGAGCAAAAATACCATTTCCTAAATTATTTTCATGTACTATCATAAGTACCATCATAAACTATATCCTACCACTTATTCAATCCCAAGTAAAAACTAATCAAAATGACCAAAAATTATCTGCATGTGTATGTTTAACCTCTTAGTGGGGGGCTGGATGTATTCACACCCAGGTTATATGGTGCTTATCTGTCTGTGAGAATCCAGAAGGCATTCTGAAAACGATCATGAAAGTAACTGAATGCGTACTTACAAAAAACATGATGTGATTTGTCAGTTTGCTAACCAGAAAAAAAAAAGTATATTTGCTGAATGATGGCACTAAAGTCCTACTGGTTCCAAAGCTGATCTAGTTTAAAAAGGGACAAGTAGAAAAAGAGAGTGAGGAAGGGACAGATGTGAAGGCAGTGGTGAAAAAGCAGCAGTCTTGGGGCTGGGCGCCCTGTCTCGAGCCTGTAATCCTAGGACTGTGGGAGGCCGAGGAGGGGGGATTGCATAATTTCATGAGTTTGAGACTAGCCTGAGCTAGAGTGAGACTTCATCTCTAAAAATAGCCGGGTGTTGTGGCGGGTGCCTGTAGTCCCAGCTACTTGGGAAGCTGAGGCAAGAGAATCTCTTGAGCCCAAGAGTTTGAGGTTGCTGTGAGCTATGACACTACGGCACCCTAGCAGGGGCAACGAAGTGAGACACTGTCTCAAAAAAAAAAAAAAAAAGAAGCAGCAGTCTTAATGAAGTAGATTCACGGAAAACTAGAGGGAGCAGATCTGAAAACAGAAAATCAGCCTGATAAATTTGAGGGTATAGATAAGCAGCCTTGTGTGTTTAAATTACCTCTAAATAGAACCATGCTGTCCCAAGAGACTAATTGCATTAATTAATATTCATAATTAGTATACATTATTGATGAAGGGAATAAAATAAGATGCTTTAGAAGAATTAATCTGAGTTAGTCAAATTTTTAACTTTTAAACTTGGTGAATGAAAATTGACAAATCTAGAGTATGTCATTTTCCTGACAAATTTAATGTCTAAATATTGTATGTTGGAGATGAAATACATGTTTAGAACCCCTATACATTTATTTTCTAAAAATTGTTTTCACAAGGTTAGTGAGAGTAATTTGAAAATCATCATTTATTTTCCTTGTTCTGCTATCTATTCTAATTTAATTTTCTTTCCAATAATAGTCTCATGAACCATTATGAAAAAAATTACATTTCTCCCTACATGTCTTTTATATACTGAATGCACTAATTATTTTAGTGATATGATATTTAAATATAACTTAGGCTTTGTCATTTAAGAAAATGATGATGATTTTTATTAGACTCTAGCTTGGCAGGTCAGAATTCTTAACAAAAATGTTAGAGTACACAAATTATTAATTTATTTTTTAATTAAACTTAATTTTCTCTATGAATTCCACATCAAATATTAACAAAGAATCAGATTTTTCTAATTAGCTAAAACTATAGTATAGATATATGTTCATAGAGTTCTGAATTATTTTGTTATTATGGATAATTTTTAAAGCTGACAATGAGCTAAGCAATAGCAATTTTCAAAAAAATTACTTTTTCTGCTAACAGTTAGAAATCCATACTTTGCTTTTTATTGCATATTATAAAGGAAACCAAAATATTTTATTTCAGTAATTTTTGTTTTGTGATAATATTTGTAATTATAAGACCTATGAATTTTCTGTCTTTATCTTTCTAAATTTATAGTTAATGATT